TTAAGCTGTAAAAATTTGTTTTGAAAAAAAAAAAATATGTATCCGATGAAAACTGGTATTTTATCTCAATCCCACTGAAGCTATCGCCTTATTGTTTTTAAATAATTAGTAAAACACAATTTTTAAAGAAAAAAAACAATGAAATAGATCCAAAGGAGCCATCAGTAACCATGTCTGTTCCAGTGCAGATCATCATTAGAATTTATATTAGTATTATGTCTTTGGTACAGGAGCCATAAAGGGGCCAGGGCATGATCTACAGGGGCACTGGACCCCGTTGGCCCCTGTCTAGAACCGCCCATGCCCTGCTTAAGACACTGCTCGTCATTTTTTATATCTGTATGCCGCATGCGAAGGGCATCTTTCACTGATGTCTGCCAGTGGGTTCTTGATGCGTGGAGCCGCGTGAAAACATCCAGCATCACCGGCGGGGCCGCTGCGGGATGAAGAGGACCGCGAGTGCTCAAGTGAGAGCGACAAGGATGAGACTGAAGTCAGCGACGGCGTCCTGAAGCTGTTCCACTCAGACACCGAGGAAGAGGACTTTGAGGGTTTTAGTGCACAGGAGGAAGAAGGAAGTGGTTAATGACTTTTCCTGGTCGGCTGCAACGTTCTGTGCGTTGTTCAATTAAAAGTACCGATATATGCAGCGTTATTTGCGTGTTACACTGCAAAAAATGATCTAAAAAGAAGTAAAAAATTCTTATATTAGGTGTTTTTACCCTTAATTTGAGCAGGTAAATGAGATAGTTTGCCAATGGAATGAGTGTTTTTAGTCTTAAAATAAGATAGTTAGAAGATATGCACTTGAAATAAGATAATGCAATTGCATTTTATTATTTTTAATCTAAATTGTCTTGTTCCACTGGCAAAATGTCTCTTTTATCTCCTCAATCCAAGAACAAATACACTTATTTTAAGAAAAAATGACTTATCTAGATTCGTATATTTAAATGTGTTACAGGTAGTTTAAAATAAAAAAAGCATTCATAATATGTACCGTATTTGTTTGTTTTATCATACGGATTAAATCAAACGTAAAAAAATATGCTCACATGTAATATCTTTATCTGTAAATATCTCATACAAACGCGGGAAACCTGCGGCTTAAAATCCGGTGCGGCTTATAAAAGCACAAAATTGATTTGCTTTCTGAAATTAGAGCGTGCGGCTTGTAATCAGGTGTGCTCTATAGTCTGGAATTTACGGTAGTTTTTTTTATATAGATGGAGAATGTAGAAAAAAAGAAAAACTGCAGCAGAAACTGTTTCTCCATCATTTCTCATTCAGTGCCTGAACATTAAAGCTCACTTTACGCACAGCTGTCAGCAGTTTTATGTTTCATTTTTTTACGTTTCCACTGCAGGAGCTTTGGGACTTTAACCAATGGCACAGAAAAGAAGAAAAAGAAGAAGAAAAAAAAGAAAAAGAGGAAGCAAGAGACGTTGGCAGAAGCACAGCGGCCCGATGAGATGCCCCTGGTGTGTATCTTGGTGTTTTGAACGTTTCCCGAGAGGCACAGCTGGAGAGAAAACACAAACCTTCCTGTAGATGCTAATGACTTTCACTTTTTTTTAGGAAAGCAGAAAAGCGGACGCCCCTGCACTGGATCATCTGACCTCCGTTAAGTAAGTGAGCAACTGCTTAATTAGTCCAGTAAGCTACAGTCTGCTTTCCAAAGGGTTAATTAAGAGCTTCACAATATCTGGCATCTGTATCATTATTTCAGTATCTCTGTGTGCGATGCAGACATCCCACACAGAATAAATATAGACTAATTCCAAAAAAAAGTTAGAAAATCAATCCTCTGGACTTTGTTTCCAAGTTTGAAGACGTTTCTCTTCCATCCAGGAAGATTTTTCAATTCAAAATGTCAGAAATAGCGTTTAGTTCCAGGTTTTATCCAGCAGCCCAACAAAGCCTGGTTTTAGTTTAGAAACCATGAACGGGTCCCCCCCTTTGG